CTTCAGAAGTCAAATCCACAAAGAGACTCAGCTGCTCTAAGACTGCTAGGGATTTGACAAATATTGAAAAAGAGTGAAATCAGGAAGATGATAGTGAGCTACTCTGTTTCCATCTCAGAACTCATTTCTATTCTGTAAAACATGACAATCAAGTGAACAGTAGTGTCTAATACCTTTGTCAGGGATATAGACAATGAGATCAAGTGCACCCTCAGCAAACTTGCAGGTGACACCAAGCTGTGTGGTGCAGTTGACACACCTGAAGGACAGGATCCCATCCAAAGGGACCTGAATAAGCTCAGGAAGTGGGTCTGTGGGAACCTCACTTTGTTCACCATGAAAAAGTACAAGGTCCTACACCTGGGTTGAGACAGCCTCCAGTATCAATATAGGCTGGGAGATGAAGGAACTGAGAGCAGCCCAGCTGAGAAGGATTTTAGGGTATTGGTGGATGAGAGGTGGGACATGAGCCAGCAATGTGTGCTCACAGCCAATCATACCCTGGTCTGCATCACCAGAAGTGTGTTCAGCAGGTCAAGGTAGGTGATTCTGTCCCTCTGCTCTGATGAGACCCCATGGGGAGTGCTGCATCCAGCTCTGGGATCATCAGCACAGGAAAGACATAGACCTGTCGAAGCAGGTCCAGAGGAGGGCCAGTAAGATGATCAAAGGGCTGGAGCAGCTCTGCTGTGAAGACAGACTAAGGGCCAAGGCTTGTCTCCTGTATTTGTTAATACAGTGTACAGAATACTGAAACTTTTGTCCCTTTTTAGGTCCCCAAGCAGTGGCACTGAAAAAAAAAAAAAAAAGAAAAATTTAAAAAAGGGTATTATCTTGCACATTTTAAAGCTGCAGATGATATGTATTATATTTTTGTTGCTGCTTTTCCTGTGAAGGCAAATCTTTATCTTGAGAGGTCAACTAATGCATAATAGCAGAAGGTATCCCACACAGTACAGTGCTTCACCAAGAACTTCTTTAAAATCCTCTTTTAAAGGTTTTTTACTGTCCTTGACCTTGACTGTCCTTTGGGAAGGAGAGAAAAATTGGTCTTAGCTTTGCAAAGCAGTAGCAAAAGCTAATCAAACTCACTTTCACTTCCATTTCCAGCATGTGTGTTGCCTTCTGATGAAGACTGCTGCACACTGAGAGCTTAACCCAAATCAAAGACATTTCCCACAGGACCTCCAGGTGTACTGACATAGTAAATAACTCCGTGTCAACTTCAACAAGTTCTTAGCTAATCTGGGGTCCTCCAGAATTTACCTTCAGCATCCCAATTATATTTTGACCTGGTTAGCCTGGCATTTTATGATAAACTTGTGACAGTAAAGAATAATCAAATTCCTTTAGTCTAAGGGGAAATTTTCCAAAAGGAAAGAGGGGTTTTATCCCATTCTAGCTTCTTCTTAAATAGAAACACCATATATTTCACAGCTTGTAGCTCCATAGTGACATACTTATGAAAAGACAAAAATAATTTCCTCTTAATAGATATAATTTTTTTAAGTGAATCTCCTCTATATAGGTAGAGCAACCACAGCAACAACAGAGGCTGAGCTCTACCATTGGCTTGCATGATATAAGAATAAGTAGGTTGAACACATTTCACATCTATAAAATCAAGATATTTAATGTATAAAAATCAAGATAGTACTCTTAAAAATGAAACATTACAGTTGCATGATGTTTCCAAGAAAAAAGCTTTCAACAAAACATATTTACATCTAGCTGACCCGTACCCAAAGGTATCCTCATAAACATTTTGCAGTCAAGCAAGCTAGAGCTACTTTAAAAAGAAACTGTCAATAATTTCTAAAACAGAGCATAAAAATAGCTAAGGTGTCATTTTGATCCTTCTGAGTATACTTTATTTGTCCTTGAAAAAAATATATCCAATGTACCTTTCAAAATGATTTATTATGTGTTATTGTTACAGTGTTCAATATTGTTCAATACTGAACTACTGTACTGATTACCACTCTCCCAGTCTGCTTTAGTTCTATCATGTGCTTTTATTTACCACCTGAGGCAAAAACATTTTAATTGGTTTAGGGAAGCTTGAACTCTCTTTTATCAATGACACATTTCATCAAAATAGAACAAAGCCAGGAGCCGTACATACTCTCCCAGTGTTGCAAAAGAATGGGTTTGTTTGAGGGCTTAAGTTTGGAAATGGATCTCTGCAGTGTAAATTACTTAATCACTTGAATAGCAACAGCAGAACATCTTGATTTTGTTCTTCTTCTTCTTTTATAATAGTAAGAAAATTTATAAATAGGTTGCACTAAATTTCCATATTTTAACTTTATTCTAGACAAATACATTCTGCAAATTGATGCAAAATCTACCAAAGATCTAGAATATAACCTTACATGGTTCATAGTACTGCAAGTGAGTGACTGAGCTAAATTAGGTACTAATGCCTGATTTAAGAAGTTTCTGTTAAAATAATCGTTGTGCAAAACAGAGAACTGTAGTCATGTTTGAAGTAAGTTTCATTGTTTGCACTGATTTGAAAAAAAAGACCTCATTTTTCCAGATTAAAAATGCACCTTTAAGAAAGTATATAAATTTCTTAAGGAAGATATCATATGTCTTGTGAACAAGTAAAAGAAGCTGTCTTTCTATTTTTTTTAAAGTGCTTACTTGACTAGGCCAAGACCCCACTGGAAGCCTCATATTTTTAAAAGTTGTTAAAAACAAAAATATATGTATAACTACAATATATTAGTTAAAATTAATTATAAAAGAAGGAATAAATCTATTAGTTTTTTTCTATCAATATTTTCAACTAAGATAATAAACATTTTACTCTGAAATTTAAGAAGAATTATACAACATAAATATTTTTTCATGAACAACAGAGTTAATCAGCCCTTTTCTCCTAACATATTGCATACTACACCCCTCACAAAGCTTGCTGCCACAGCTCCTGCTTTTGTCCCAGCTGTCTGTCTGGGCAAAAGGTGCAGTAGCTGTCTATTATCATACACATGGTGACTAATCAGCCAGTTTCTGCTTCAGCACATGTTACCAGTTCCACATGTACTTACATATATAAGGTTTTTTTGTCTTTTCCTCAATGACATAGATATTAGCTATCCAAATACCAATTTTCACAAAACATCTCAAAATTCATTACCTTTTGGTTCTCAGATCCACCCTGTCCATATTGTTTGAAATTAGTTTTAGGATTCAAAAGTTTTTAGGTATAGCTGGAAGGAAAGATGCACAGACAGGCTGAAAGAATATTTATATATGCTTTGTTTGCTTTAGGAATTCAAGCTCTAAAAAACGGAATTAAGACACACTGATGATTATATTTACCTTCTGGCTTGCACAGCAGTACTTTATTGCATGTCAGAGACCCTTCAGTGTTACTGCAAAGACTTCAGCTTCCCCCAACATCTGTGGTGCTTGCTTTCTGCCTGTTTGCTGCAGAGGGAACAAAGGGAACAAGTCTGCAAACTTCAGACACTGCGGAGGATGTGCCAGGCATCCAGGGCACTTGTTATGATGTCCAATGGCCCTGCTTCACAGATTCTTTACAGGCTGGGGTGAGGAATGCCTTTTTAACCCTAAATCACACTTAAAACTGGTTGAGAAAAAAATGGGAAAAAAAGCATGACCTCCAGAACAAATAACATATTTAAAAACATTCACAGAATACATTGACATAACTCTCTGTATTGGGTTTGTGTGACAAGGTTTTGGTAGTGGGGGGGCTACAGAGATGGCTACTGTGAGAATCTGCCAGAAGTTTCCCCCATGTCTGACAAATCCAATGCCAGTAAAATGGCCAAGGCCGAGTCCATTGGTAATGGCAGTAGTGCCTCTGGGATAATAGATTTAAGAAGAGGGAAAAAAGTGCTGCAAAACAACAGTTGCCAGAAGAGACAAGTGAGAATATGTGAGAAAAACAACTCAGATGCCAAAGGCAGTGAGTGGCAGGAGGAGGTGCTCCAGGCACTGGAGCAGAGATCCACCTGCAGCCTGTGGTGGACCCCATGTCAGAGCAGGTGGATGACTGAAGGAGTCTGTGACCCCATGAGAAGCCCATGCTGGAGCAGGCAGCTGGCAGGACTTGTGGCCCAGTGAAGGCAGGAGCTCATGCTAGAGCAGGTTTACTGGCAGGACTTGTGACCCCATGTGGGACCCACACTAGTGCAGCCTGTTCCTGAAAGACTGCACCTCATGGAAGGGACCCAAACTGGAGCTTTTCCCACGGGAAGAACTCACATTTTAATACAGTTTTTGTCCCTTTCTGTCTCAGTTTGAAGAGACTGGAATGTTTGCTAAAAAGGATGAGTTATGAGACAAACCAAACTCCTCTCTCTCAGCAATTGTAAATTCAAAATTACGGGGCTTTAATCGAGGAAGTGTGGAAAAAACCAGAAAAAATAACAACCCTTTATTAAAAGATATATGTATGTTGGCAAGAACAGTAACAGAACACACAAAAAATAACTAGACAATAGTCCTGTACCTAGGACTAGACAAAAGTCCCCTTCAGACAAAAGCAAAGGTCTGAACACTTCTCTGTCCTTAGCGCAGTTCTGATCACGGTCGGCAGGGGGCGCTGTTGGGTCACTGGAGGCGCAGGGCCTGCAGTGCTCCGTGTTGGCCTGCAGGGGGCGCTGTTGGGTCACTGGAGGCGCAGGGCCTGCAGTGCTCCGTGTTGGC